TGTATCATCATCGGAACGTGAATCTTCCAATAAACCGCAACCCTAATGTGCACTCTACCTCAACGGCGTGTCTTCGTTTGACAAGCTTTTTCAATAAGCTTTCACTCACCCGAACTCCTTACTTTAAAGCCTTTCCAAGCATGTATACATATGTCTAAATTTTAATGTAGTACTATCTCTTCAGAACCCAAAGTCCCATACCAAATTTCAACTCTATAATATTCCAACCGTAACCTCTCTCGAATGTATCAATTGCCAACCAGACCAGATGTTAATTACACCACATTCTAGGCAAAACATTGTCTACGCGCCCTACAACTCGACGCTGGAAGCTTCACGTTCCTGATCTGTATCCTGCTTCGCCCGGCTTGAGAATAACGAGGGATACCAGATATTGAATACAATCATGACCGCTGCCATTGGTAGACCGTCAAGTGTGAAAAGATAAACCTCGTGTCTTATGATGGTTCCGGCGAACCCTTCCACGAACTCCGCTACCCGAATAATAGATCGAAACATGATGAAAGCACTTGCTATGTACAAGACGCACAGAAACTTCTCCCACGGGACTGACGCGTGGTGGCTCTTGCTGGTCGGGCTCGCACGTAGTCGGCGATGTAGAACCACGGCAACGGCCACGAAAAAGCTGAATATAACGATTTGAGTCACTAGTCCGGCTAGGACAAGATGAGATCCTCGTTCCGCTGTCGATGCCGCTGAACTGGCCATCAGTCCACCACCTACGCGGAGTCAGAGATAGTTTGAAGCTGAGTAATCCCATCTAACTATACCAGCAAGCTGTATCAGAAACGATGCCACATCGCTCGTCACAAAGACCTTTGTCAACCATCGAGCCTTGATCAGACTATGTGCTTCAGCATCAACACCTACGATGATACGGCCTAGTACCATGTATATGCTAGCTGCGAGAAGTGCTGGCGCCACAAGAATAAGAAGTGTTGAAATTACGTAGGGGGCTAGAGTCGGATTAGGTGCTTGGCCATAAGACACCCCGCGCGCTATGTATCCAACTATTTCGACTATATAGATGGAACGTCAGTATATCAAGGTACTGATCAAGAGGGGGAATATATCCAAAAATGAATAAGAAAGAGAACCACGCACATATTCCGCCTATCAGTAACGGAATGAAATACCATGTCCTGTGCTTTGCAATGAGCACTCCATGCCAAGCCGCTGTCACACTAAACAAAATTGCGAAAACACATGCGCCAGGCAGAGAAGGTTTGTAGTGGTAGAACTTGTAATGGGAATCGGTGTCGCTTGACATCTTCTGGGTAGAATTTTGGGAGGCCGAGTGATGAATTTGGAGTTGCTCAGAATAGGCACTTGGAGACAGAGAAAAAATATCTTAGCAAACAAAAGAACAGCCTATGATCATAATAAGGATATTTGAACACAGAAGTGCCCGTTGCGACGTCAGCAGCAAACTGCGAATGGTCTTTGCGCAATCGCGATTGTTGACTCCGAACTGCGAACTGCGAACTGCGAACTGCGAGCTGCGAACTGCGAAATCGAAACCGCGCGCCTTAAACTATCGCAGTAATTGTACAGGCTCCCGATCTACAATACTATTAATGGACATGATCAACAATGGCCGCGTCACTCCGGTCAAGCAGTGTTAGAACCCACTCAGGTACCGTGTGATAGTCTGAAAACACAAACCTCCGAAATTGCCGAACTCACCACTCCAGATCCCGGGACTCCTTGGTCACCGATTCAGGTGCATATCTTGCCATCTGGATTCCCTGCTGAGATGGAAAATCATGCATCTGTCCGCACCGTGTGAGTTTTAATCACCACCACAGACCAATTTACCTAACTTGAATACCTTTCTGATATTCAGGGTGCCCATGAAGCCAGCATCCTTACCCAAGAACTTACAGGTCAGCTGCCAACGATAACTACCAGCCAGCAGCATTTATAGAAGTATCCAGATACCTCCATTCGTGGGATATCATTCCAAAGATAAAGGCTTAGTGGTTGTGCTATAAAAGATGCGCGCTTCTCGGTTGATTATAGGAGTGACGTACTAATAGCGACCATATACCATTCACTGTGCCAAGAAAGCTAAGCTACAATTGGATAGGCGTATTCATCGCGATAACCCTCTATTTTGACTTCCACGCAAGCAAACGGTACAAGTTTGTTTCTGGTCACATTCTCAGCATCGTGAAAATTCCGCAATATTTCATCAGAGTTTCCCTCACCGACTTATCCTTCGTCAGGCCATGCGACCGGCACCTAAAGTCCTTATAAACCCGTCCTGGCCCTCACTCCTAAAGAACCATTTCGCATTACAACCCATCTTATCACAGGTCGGGATACGTATTCTCGTGATTACCATTACGTACGCTATCCCCTCATCACAAGTATGGCGTGCTCTTCGGACAAACTGCAAGTACCCCCAGAGTAAGTCCAAAGATAAACTTTCGATACTCATTCAAATTAGGGCTATCACAAAGGAATCTTCCTGGTCACAGAACATATGCTTCGTCGACTTCCCTGGGAGCTTCGGGATACAATATACTCGCACTACTGGGCTGATCATGGAAAGACAATCAAGACTCTCCACCGTCTGATTCCTATCATATGCAAGCACCCTGTAGAGAAACCGCTGCCATTTGAGACCCCATTCATCCTCTACGAAGGGAACATCAGGCAGGAGATTGCCGCAGAAGCTCTTAAATGGTTTTTCGAGAACACGATAATCCGGATTTCGTGGGATCTGCTGTCCACGTTCCTACACAAGCATCTCTTTCGTGTCGGCCTTGCCGTTTCAATGGTCAAGCTTTCGTCTCTCATAGTCGAAGTCGTAATAACTCCCAATATGTACCGCATGGCGGCGAGCTTTACCAGCAGGTCGATTAGGAACTTGAAGCTAGGAATAATTCAATGGCTGTAGAAGTGCGCACAAAGTACGGCAAGTTCAAGCTCCACCGGCATATGCTTGGGGAGAATATGGAAGAGTGGATAGATTACATTAGACCTTATGTAACAAGCCCTCAAGGGTTTGTTATGCGTCTACGGATTCATGAAGGTTTGGTCGAGGGTGCTTGAGGCTGAGGGCGACAGGCATGGCCCGCTTGGGTATGCTGAATATATTGGGAATACATGTGGCAATAGTGAAGCTTACAACCTAAATTCGTGTTCCGGTGTCTTCCCTGGATGGATTTATCGATAGATGCGATACGATCGCGTCTCAGTTCATCACACTGAAAGCTGTCAGTGTGAACAGCAACTCACGATCCTGTCGCTTCAATATCGGCTGTTGTAGTTCAGAGAGCATAGCTGTGCACCTTCTCATTCATCTGCACGGGTTCTTCAAAATAATGTATCCAACATATGGCTAAGAAAGGTGTCAACACAATTTTGGTTCGTCTGACCATCACCCCGTCCCCTCTCTCGAACACCACGTCGATGAAACTGGGCCGGCATTCAGGATCTCGATAACCGAGTTTCGTTCTGTGAGGTACATGAATCTTGACCCTTCCGAGCTGCTGACGTTAGAGTGGCAAAGATCCGTTCAAAGAAAACTCGTCATCACTGTACGGCAAACTGTACCTCCCACAATCGTTTATATCAATTGCAACTCTGATATTGTTCGCCAATGAACCTTGAGTCAATGTAAAACCAGTCATATCCAATAGTTAATCAATTTCTTATCAACTAGCCATTTCCGAAAGTTGCCCTGCACCTTCTCTCCAAGCAGTAAACTTTTGGAACAAGACATATCATTCGTGTCCAGCAAGGTCATCGCAATATCTAAACATTATGATCATGAATGAAATGTTCCCGCTATTACTGCCTATCTTACCATCGCTGTAGAGACATCGATACCGTCCGGCGTGAACTTCTTCGCCTCACGAGCGCCGTCACTCAGCTACTTCCCCGCGAACTACGCGACAAGATATTCGGCTACCTCCAGGACCATTCACACGTTGACGCCTTCAACCTCTATCTCAACACCTACAATGAATCAAGTCCACTACTAGCCGTCACTGATCCAGTCTACGTTGGGGCTCACTTCACCTTTGAGGTCCGTCAAACTCTTCTCAGTCAGAAAGATTACGAAGTTTAGGTCAGAAGGAAACACATCCAGGCCCTCTTGGGAAAAGAAACCCTTTCCACTCCACATGAAAACACTCAACCCCAATTCCAAAGCAGGAAGATCACGATAGAGGCGCCCAGGGAGAACAAGGCAGATTTAGGTTCCCGGAAGTAGATTCATGGCGTTGGTGGGATTGCCACAATTCTTCAAGTGCTGCTGACCATTCAATGGAAAGCTCAGAAGGCGAGAGTTGGTTTCAGAATACACTATTACAATTGGGCATACATTGATCTAATTCTGCTTGCTCTTCTTGAATCATCTAGAGGGGGTATAAAACTTGGTAAAGATACAAAAGAATGTCAATCTTAGGGTCGAGATCAGGTTTTACTTTTCGCTTCTGGGAAAAGAAGTTCATATGCCTGCAAAGAAGCAGATTTTGGGGTACATCATACCTAGGAGATTACATTGCGGACCTGTACATTGGGAGTGATGCGGTCATTGACAGTAGTATGTGTCTGCGCTTGCAACCAAACAAGCTAGCCCAACAGTCCAATATCCACTCACAAAATTACTCATATCTAAATTTTGCGGTGGACACAGCAAGCTACATTGTTCATATATTGACAGGCGTGACCACAAATGAGATAGATAGAACAAGGCCGGCGCCAGGGATCGAACCGTAAGCGTCTCCAGGAAGATGAGGCATTCTACCACTCGACTACGCAGGCTTGAGACATAATACGCAACTAAGATGAGGATGACAGATATATTTCTCTTCCTCTCCGCCATCCTCCTTCTGCCTCCCCTCCTTCTCCATGCCACTGATGTGATATCTATCAATAGCACATGATTGCTATGCGTTGTGTTGCCCTCCGAAGATCAAAGCGGACTCCTTCATGGATGGGGTTCGTCAATATCAGCCAAGCAAGGCCGGCGCCAGGATTCGAACCATGGGCCTCTCCAAATAGCTCAGAGTATCCTAATACCACTAGACTACACCGGCTTAATATTATGCATAGCCTGATATTGACAAGAGACCATCGAATCCTCATCTTTTCCCAGTTCTCCTCAAATGGTCCCACAGCCAAGGGACAGACCGAGTATCAGAAACGAATCGCGAGGGGCCACACTGACAACCCCGTCCAACAAGCAGAAACTTCTTGCATCCCCCCACTCAGCCACCCGACAAGTCCGATAATGTTGTTCGTATTGAAGTCCTTCGGTAAGGAGTTGTTGTAATTCCCGAAGCGAGCGCAATCGCTTGCAAAGAGACCGAAAGACCATCCTTTCAGGATGAGCACCGTTAAGGTCGGCACCAAGGAATCGAACCTTGGGGCTCAGGGGAATACAAAAAATTCCCTGAATTCTACCACTGAACTATACCGACGGGGCTACGGTGCTCATCTGATAAAACGCTCTAACCCTCTTAACAAACGATTGACCATATCTGCCGCACAAGTTAGCTGAAGTGGGAGTAATGAGGGAGTAGAAAGGTCCAGAAAGATAATATCCTTCCTCCAGGCACACTGTGGAGGAGGATAGTATTACTTCCCATCTCGCCAAGTGCTTTTACATGTGGCCGGCGCCAGGAATTGAACACTGGACCTCCGGATTTAATGTCCGGGATACTACCATTGTACTACACCGACGTGAAAGCAACGCTAACTTGGAGATGGTTGGACGAACACCCTACTGCCGGCCCTGTCGCTGTCCTCTGAGATTCGAATCCAAGTTCCCGTCAGAATGGGACTTGAGTTTGTAGTATCCGCAGAGCTCAACACCACCGATAGTGGGTGGTCGGCGCCAGGGATTGAACACTGGATCCCCCGGTGCAGGTATCCGGCGCACTACCGTTGTGTTACGTCGACAGGAAGGCAATGTTGGCTTGGCGGAAACACCCTCAAACTGCGGATCAGCCATGTTCGTCATTCTATGCCAGGTGGAATATGGGAGTGGTAGAGAGTGGAACCTGGCTTTGGGGTGTCCGCAGAGCTCAAGAACGTGGGTAGCAGGTGGTCGGCGCCAGGGAATCGAACGCTGGATCTTCAGAAGGAAAATATCTGATATACTTCCATTGCACTACACCGACAGGGAGCAACGTTGACTTGAACAGGCAGGGACACCCATACACTGCCGAGATTCTGTTATGTTTGTCAGTAGTAACATAGATCTCTTGTAAGCTGTGACCAGGATTTGGTTTGGGGGATCCACAGGACTCAACAACGTAGATAGTAGGTGGTCGGCGCCAGGTATCGAACACTGGGTCTTCGGGCCTAGATCCGCTATACTTCCATTGTACTACACCGACTGGAAGTCAACGTTGATGAGACGCTGCAATCGCTCCATGACCTGAGTTCATCAGTAGATGATACCCAAAGAGGAAACGTGATAGATAAACAGTCTCTGAAATGATGGTAGTCTTGACGTCCAAAAATCTCTTCAACACGGGGTCCAGGTGGTGGGCGCGAGGAGTCGAACACTGGGTCAAATGCACGGCTTGCGAGGCACCGAGAAGCATTTTGTTCTACCACTGAACCATACCCACATGAGAGAAAGAGTTGTGCTAAAGACTTCAGAGCAATTGGCCGTGTGTTGTATCGAAAATCTCAGCTCGGATATGTGGGAGGCCATACGAAGCACCATACACACGGATGGAGGACGCTGAACAAAGTATGCACAAATCAGTCTCAGGATGGAAGGTGAAGGAAAGGGATATGAGGGCCGAGGAGATGGGTGGGAATTCGGCGTGTTTAAATAGGCGGGAGTAGTGGTGCCTAGAGATGTGTTGGTCGAATGATGAGGGGTAGTTATCGCTTCTGCACCCGGTTGAGTCACATCAGCGCACGGACTGATTCCGCCCCCACCGACCGCATAAATCCTTCCATCAACAGGCCTTCGGGTCATCATTTTTCCATCTCCACGTCTCTTCTACTCTCGTAATCCCATGTCTGGTCAAACACCTGGGGTGAGGCATGTGCACAAATCTTGAGGACTGTCCAACAGGGAAGGGTGATCATATTTAAAACAAATACGCCGTACATCGAGCATCCGATTTACCAATCTAGGACATCCCGAACTTCTTCATCCCTTCATTGGACCCAGTTTTCTTTATTCCTCGGCTTCGTAATATGGCTACGTTATCCGGGGGTCGATCTGGTAGCCGATCTGTGAAATCATGCACAGAGTGCAAGCAAGTCAAAGTACGCCATCCGGATTCCCAGAGTCGACATGCTGCTCACCTCTATTAGCTCCGATGTGATTCCAAAATCAAATTCCCAGCTGCGTGTACACGATGCCAAAATCGCAATCTTCAATGCAGGGTAGACTCCTCGTTCAGGAGGACACCGGCTCGCAAGTATGATGCTCAATCCGACCCAGAGGTAGATGCCAGGTTGCCTGTTGCTAATGCTCTCAAGACGTGTGGAAGAGATGTCCCGTGAGTTGGAGACCTTGAGAAATTCCAGGCCTGATAACGATGGGGCCAACTCTTCTGGAGCTGCGACCGGCGATACTTCCCCCCCTCCACCCGAAGCCCAATGGGAGACCTCTGGACCACCCACCCTTGATGAAAGTGGTCTTGATACGATCGCGTTCCAGCTCGGGTCATGTGAACTCAACTCGGAACTAGTAGTTGATGTCTTCCGAATGTAGGCTTTGGGGCCATTGCAATGTACTTCTTCTAACATTCATACAGATTCACTGCTTTCTTCTATCCCCATCTCCCAATCATCGACCGAAACATCTGTATCTCTCAAATCTTCCTCTCCTCCCCGTTCCTCTTCTGGAGCGTGCTAGCGATTGTCGTTTCTCGTGACATAAAGCCACTGTATGGTGATATCTTCAGTCGCCTGAGAGAACCACACCAATCGCTGCTTCAGGTCAGCACATTTACCATCCCACTACCTCTCAGCAGTATCCAAGCTCTTGCATACCTCACCGCTTGGCCACTTCCAGTGAACAAACAACCACAAGATCCAAGTTGGATCTATTGCGGAATCATCACCAATGCCGCATTATACATGGGCCTCAATCATCCCAATCCCACCCCATCGCTACGTAGCATTGGTGTGCTATCCGGCAGTGTACAGCAAAGAAGACTAGCTTGGCTTGGATGCTTCAGCCTTTCTACAGTGTAAGTCAGTTTCGGCCTTGGTGATTTGCTCAGGGATTGACGATGCAGACATGGCATGTTTGTTGGAGTGTCGCCAATGATCAACACCAGCTTAGACCTTGACCTTATCGAAAGGTACGCTCGAGACCCACCTGTGCCGCGAGAATTCAGCCATCAAGTGATGATTCAACAAATCATAGCGAAGTATATGAACATTCTCTTGTACAGCCGAGAGATGGACGTCAACCACCCTCTCGTTTTCCTAGTTGATAGTGAACTCGATCAACTTCGATCAAACCGCACAACGGAATGGACACCACGAGTTGAGTTCAGTCTATACGTCGCCAAGCTTCATCTATACACCATGACTGTGATAAGGATGCAATCCGACTCAACCATGCGCGATGTATTTCTGAAACTTGGTTTTACTGCAGCAATTCGAATCATCTACCTCGCCAATCAAGGCATTGCCTATACCTCCGAGGATGACTTCCAAATCCCCCCGGGTCTTGTTCAGAGGACGATCCCAAAATATCTTTCCAAAGGCCATGTTCTCGCAGCAATATTTCTTCTTCGCTACTTTGCTCTCAACAGCCTAGCGACAGCCGAGGATCAAGAAGTCGCCCGCAATCATGTCGCCCTTACTTTCACATATATGGCTTCTTTATCTACGCATCCTCGAGATGAGTATGCGCGAGTCGCGCGTCTCCTTGGAATTCTAAGTCGACAGAATCCAGTCAATATTGAAGAGCATAAACTTCGGATTGAAAACAGAATGGGAGCCTCGCTCATCTTTGATGCAATTACCACCGGTGTCGAGCTCCGGAATGAGCCTGCCGAACTGACGGAAGATGGGCTGGATGACGCCACCAAGACGCAAGATGCACAAGCGCCCGACGCTGCGGAAGAGGAAAACGACCTTGAGCTGACTGGAGACCCCATGGAAGAACTTAGCCCCTTGGACTTTACATTGCCTGATGACATCTGGGGCGATGCACTCTGGGGCATGTTCGGTATCGGCGGAATGGATCCGTCGTCTCACTTTTGATGGAATGCAAACGTACGTCTATCAGGAAGAGGAACAGAGGTAGGAGTAACCTGTCATGCCAGCTCTTCCCACGCTTGAATAAGACTGGCGGGAAGTTTCATATGAAACAACGAAAGATACTTCTGCGACCCATGGACATCGTTTTCCATAAAACTGCCATTTGCGACTGGCTTTCCACGCCACATTCTGGGGATCGTTACTTTGAATGCGAGGGCTTGATCGAAGAAACCGCTCCAGATGATATCTGTCTCTTCCACTTCCATCAGTCGGGCGAAGATGGTTTGGTTTAGAACATTTGCCGTTTTCACAAGATGGTATTGTGCTTTGGTTGCAAACATTATGTCCACTGTTATCTCGTATGGTCCAGCGTTCTTGGATCGTAGGACACGGGAAATGTCGCCCAAGACCTTGGGGGAGGCTTTTTTGGTGTTGGGTGTGGATTCTGAGGTACCGTTTGAAGTTCTGATGATGGATCCATCTTCGGTGGGAAGTTTCAACACTACCTCTTTTATCGACGGCTTGGTTTGATTATGGCCCATGGTTTTGATGGTATAAGCGAACAGACCTCCGTCGCCATCTTCTATCCAGAGTCTCTCTTCACCGACTTTCAGATCCATGAGGTGGTATATCGCAAATTTGGCACAGGGTCCTGTTTCAATATCCATCTTTCCGGCCAAACCGTAGGCAAAATTTCCTGACGTAGCTTTTTGACCAGGATAGTTTCCATGCTAAAACAATTCAATATTTCCACCCAACGTGGTTAGAGTCAATACTTACTATGGTAGCAATCCTCGCTGCAGATATTACACTTGTCGCAAGGTCCTGCGAGGGCGCCAATGCTTCTCCAATGAGGAATATCTCCGAAGGTTGACCAGCTTTCTCGGGAAGTGCGGAAATTTGGTTTTGACCGTAGACATGAAAGTCCAGTTCCCAGCTCTCTTGAATGTCGGCATGCTGCTTCTGTGCGTATGCCTTAGCTCGCTCAAGGAATGAATCGAGTTGTCTTATCAAAATTGCTGCCTTGTGTTTAGCACACCAAGGATAACTGTCAGTTTGGAAGGAGTACTTACGGTCCTTGAGGCTCCCCATATACATTGACCGATACCCAATAACTTTCGCACCCTCGAGCTTAATCCGATACGGCAACCCCACATGGCGAGAGAATCTGAACAAACCACCGCAAACCCTCACAGTCCGATCATCATCCAACTGCTCATACGCCGCCCGTGTGAGATGTAATACACCACCAGGACCCGACAACAAGTCCGGTCTGGACTTCTCATATAGCGTATGAGCCGCAACAGATAACGGCGTGCAGCGAGCCTCGGGCAGTGTTGGTCTGATATCAAACGTACCGTCTTTGTATACCGTCGCAATGGCACCGTGGCTTTTGGGTGTTGCACAAATCCCGCCACATTCCATGATCTTACCCATGTGGGTGAAACCTCCCCATAGTCGCTCGCTCTGCGTAGTGGCGGTGTCTTGTATCTGAGTGTTGGATGTGAAAGCTGCGAAGGCGACGTAGGGAGATGGATCGTATGCTCGGCCTCCTACAATGATATCGAAATCGGGATGTGCAACCATGGCATCGATGAATGGTTCTGGGCCCATTTGAGACGCGATTCGTGGGACAGATTCGACGTCATCGGTGGTTAGCTTTGGCACTGTGGTTCCGCATCCGCTGATTGCGTCTAGGTCAAGTCTGGCGAGCACGAGGGACTTTTCGATTTCGGAGAAGATGGCTATTGTTTTGAAGTTGTAGTGCCTTCAAAATAGTCAGCCTTGAGTAGGCTAGACAAGAGCAAATGGGGTCAATACTCATTGCCAGGTTGAGAAGCAATCTCTTCGATCACACCAAGCATCTCGCGAACATGGTCATCGCTTCCATCCCCGCCTGCGGAGCTGAATATCAGGGGGACCTTGAAGCCATTGGCCAATCTCAACAACTTCGTCAAGTCCCGGACATACGATGACCGCGGAAGTGTCAAGGTCCCCAATGCCAACTTGGAGGGCCCGCCGTCAGTGGATCCAGAGTCCAGAATCAGCGCTGTGGGAACGTTCGTTGACACGAGGCTTTGGAGTGCAAATGCTGTTTCTTGTTCGTCGAGGCCATACCCGAGCATACCGATTGGCGTTACGATATGACAGACTGGTTCCAAGCTGCTCTGAGAATTCATTGTGATGTCGTGGTGTTGAAGAAGGGTGATAGTCACGTGGGTAGACTGATGTTATGGTCACGTTGGAAGAGCAAAAATGGAGAGTTATATGGTCCAGGAGGTAGCGGAATACAGACACAGTCTCCTAACACATACTCGTAACATTTGGAAGCGAGATTCGGCATTTTGGGCGACTTTCGCACTTGCACTTGCACTTGAAGACAACCTCG